TCTATCTATCTATCTATCTATCTATCTATCTATCTATCTATCTATCTATCTATCTATCTATCTACCTATCTATCTTTCTATCTATCTATCTATTTCTATATATAGCTGGGAATCGTGGCGCGATGCTGCGAGCAAACTGAATTATGTGGATCAGATTTTACCATGCACACGTGCCGTCGGCCCGCCCGCGACCAGTTTAGACGTATGAGAACGGCTGAAGAAAATTCTCTTGGCAGTCAACGGTGACCGACGCACGAGCGCCATCTGCACACACATTAACATCGGCATAGCGGGGAACCCAGGGCGTGATGCTGCGAGCAAAATGAATATTATAGACCGGATTTTACCAAGCACACGTGCTGTCAGCCTGCCCGGCTTCGGTGTGAACGTAACAACGGCCGAAAAACATTAGACCTATCTTGGCAGTCAACGGCGACCGACGTCAGAGCGCCATTTTCCTATATATTTGCATAGCTGGGAATCGTGGCGCGATGCTGCGAGCAAAGTGAAGCATGTAGATCAGATTTTACCATGCACACGTGCCGCCGGCCCGCCCGTGACTAGTTTGAATATATGAGAACGGCCGAAGAAAATTCTCTTGGCAGTCAACTGTCCCCGACGCACGAGCACCATCTGCACGCACATTAACATCGGCATAACGGGGAACCCAGGGCGTGATGCTGCGAGCAAAGTAAATATTATAGACTTGATTTTACCAAGCACATGTGCTGTCAGCCTTCCCGGCTCCGGTTTGAACGTGTAAGAACGGCCGAAGAACATTATCTTGGCAGTCAACGGCGACTGACGTCGGAGCACCATTTTTCTGTATATTCGCATAACTGGGAATCGTGGCGCAATGCTGCGAGCAAAGTGAAGCATGTAGATCAGATTTTACCATGCACACGTGCCGTCGGCCCGCCCGCGACTAGTTAGAAAGTATGAGAGTGGCCGAAGAAAATTCTCTTGGCAGTCAACGGTGACCGACGCACGAGCGCCATCTGCACGTACATTGATATCGGCATAGTGGGGAACCCTTCTGATAGAGTTCCCCTGCGGGAAAATTACTTCTGATTTCTTCTGGTTTAAATAATAGTATCTTAGATACTAGCAGAGCACGTTATAATACTAGACGAGCAGGAACCAACCAATCAGGAACCAACAAATCTGCCTCTCTGATAACTTTTTAATGCCACATTAACTTTTTAACACACCATTAATTTTTCGAATTAACTTACATATACCCTTACCTTTACCTTTATAAATTTAACTTTACGAATTACACCACATTTACTTATTGCATATATATTATATTATCACAGTATAGGGCGTGCACCTGCGCGCGCATCACCCTGCCCCCCCCCCGTTACTGCGTCTAAGTCTATCATTATGGGGTCACCGCGCATGACTCACCAACTCGGGCTGCTCATCAACAATACATAACACGCAGGAGTAGCAGCAGCAGTGGGAGAAGCAGCAACAGTAGCAGCAGAATCAGCAGAAGCAGCAGCAGAAGACCAATCAGGGGCTTTGTAACAGCCAACCAATCAGGGGCCTCGTAGCATCTGACTAATCAGGAGCCTCGTAGCATCCGACCAATCAGGAGCCTCCTAGCAGCCGACCAATCAGGGGCCTTGTAGCAGCCGACTAATCAGTAGCCTCATAGCAACTGACCAATCAGGTGCCTCGTAGCAGCCGACCAATCAAGGCCTCATAGCAGCGGACCAATCAGGAGCCTCGTAGCAGTCGACCAATCAGAAGCCTCGTAGCAGCCGACCAATCAGGGGCCTCATAGCAGCCGACCAATCAGGTGCCTCGACACAGCCGACCAATCAGGGGCGTTGTAGCAGCTGACCAATCAGGAGCTTCCTAGCATCCGACCAATCAGGTGCCTTGTAGCAGCTGACCAATCAGGAGCCTCCTAGCAGCCGACCAATAAGGAGCCTCGTAGCAGCCAACCAATCAGGGGCCTCGTAGCAGCCGACCAATCAGGCGCCTCGTAGCAGCTGCCGAATCAGGAGCTTCATAACAGCCAACCAATCAGAAGCCTCGTAGCAGCCGACCAATCAGGGGCCTCGTAGCAGCCAACCAATCAGGTGCCTCGTAGCAGCCAACCAATCAGGGGCCTCGTAGCATCTGACTAATCAGGAGCCTCGTAGCATCCGACCAATCAGGAGCCTCCTAGCAGCCGACCAATTAGGGGCCTTGTAGCAGCCGACTAATCAGGAGCCTCAGAGCAACCGACCAATCAGGTGCTTCCTAGCAGCCGAACAATTGTGAGCCTCCTAGCAATCAACCAATCGGGAATCTTTCATCAATCATTGGTTGTGAATTAATCTCTTATCAATTATCAATTATGATTGAACATTTTAACCATCATCCACGAATCACTTAATTATTATTATTATTATTATTATTAACGTAACACATTATATACCGTACCTTATACCTACCTTACTATATTACCTTACCTATCTTACTTGGCTTCACACGATTATAGCAAACGTTTTTTCTTACTTATATCATCTAAGTAGGAGTCAATAAATTGTTTGTGGTGGTGCGGAATCATTGCCTAGCTAATACTCACCCTTGGGCCTATGTAAAATTGAACTTAGTTAAAATTCTTCCAAATCATATAATCGCCAATGCACTATTTTGGCTGCCATTATTTACCGTTATTTTCATAGTATGATTGAATCTCTAAAATTCCTCTTATAAAAACGCCATCTACCACCATTTATATTAATGAATTAATAGTAATAATCAAGGTAATATTAATAATGAAACACGTCGCGGTTTTTATTGCACAACCAGTCCGCAGGTTGCGCCACAATCGCATTACACCGGAAAATCACCCAAAACATTGTAAGTTGTAATTTGAGGCATGGAAGCTGTTTTGTCATATAATAATATCACAAATATGATAAAAAATTTGGTAAATCGGTTCAAGAACACCCATGTCGATTTTAAAGGGCCTACCCCCACATATACGAAAATGGAATAGGTCTCAATCTGGACATCATCTCTAGGTGCAAATACACTTTATGACGTCCAGTATGGCGGCGCAGTATGGGGGCGCCTAACCCTAACCCTAACCCTAAC